TTCATACAAATTTAACAATACAAACTTTTTGTTTTCAATTATATAAGAGTTTAGACTATATTTCTCACATTTTAATTGAATTGATATACACTTTAATGGGTTTGAAAAATCAATTTTATTTCTAAAATCAATTACAGATATATAAGGTTGTGATGACTGGAGATCTGGAGAGAGCAGAGAGTGTCTGAACGGAGCATTTGTCACACACACGGAGTGGTTGTGAGGAAAGCCAATAGAAATTCTTCGTATAACTAACGGATGAAGTGATAAAAATTGAGCCCAAAATCTATTGTCGAAAAGTTTTCTTCAAATCATAGATACATTTGGATGAAAAGGTCGTTTCATTGCTTACATAAGACATGAATACCAAATCCAAAATTCTTATGTCCACCGACTCTGAGGGCTACGACGAGATTGTGGCCAAAGAAGATCCACAACGAGAGGCTGTTGTGCTCAGACTGAAGAAGGTTTTCAAAGAACTATTGGAGACCATCGGCGAAGACACCGAAAGACAAGGACTTAAGAGGACTCCTGAACGGGCGGCCAAAGCGCTCTGGTATTTCACTCATGGATATCACGTTCATCTCAATGGTTTGTTAAACAGAATTTTAATTTTTCAGAATATTCTTTATATAAATTTATAATATATTATCAATCCTTTGATACAATACCGAACCAATTCTATATATTCTATACATTCAGCAACAAGTGATAGGTTTCTCAAAAATCAATAGATTAAGTGCAAAGCTTTTGAACAATTTATTGTATTTCATAAGATATTGCGAATGAAATAAATGAAAACAATTAGATGATTCATATAATAATTTTATTAAAAAATAAAATCATTAATACAGTACATTACGGTAATTCATATGTAATCAACAATAATTCAAATAGAGAATAAAAATGAATTCCTATTAAAGAATATGCCATTTTCATAGTAATTAACTCTGTCATATACTTAATTACAATTTCAATTGAAAAACCAAAATTTTAATTACAGAACATTTTGATTAGAATACAATTTAAGGTTATTTAGCGATCACCAGAATATGCAGAGAAGTAATGATGAGAAACGAGAGCCAAATTGTGAGCACTTGTGAAATGAAAGAGTGATTCATAAGGTTTTTACTGCAAATTAGATGAACGTCAAGAGCAGAGCCGATCATTCATTGATCACTCGCTTCCACAGTAATAGGCTTTCATTTGGTGTGCATTTGATTATTACCTGTTCAATGAATCCCTTAACTCACAGAATGAAGGCATCAGTTTAAGCTCTTTTCCACTCTCTTTAATACATTCAATAATAAACTAATGCCTAAAATCATAATCAAAGGTCTCATTCAATTCATGCAACGTCTGTGAAATTATTATTTCATTCAATTTAAATGTATCGTTCAAATGCTTCACTTAAAATTAGTTTTCAACCAAATCCTTTACCATCAAGTATTACAGTATAATCTACTACTGTTCTACATATTCAAGCTAAATATGAATTTTTAGACATTCAATAAAATTGAACAAAAAATTACTTAAATCTAAATATAATTCTATACGATTTAAAAGATTTACTCCTTAATATTTAGTCATTACTAAAGCATCCAAATCCAGTTATTTAACTATTTCTTGGGATAGCCAAGAACTTGGTGAGATTAAGTATGCAAACGAATCATGTGATAAGGGTCATTTTAAGAGAGTTTGATTTTAACTATAACTATTTGATGGGTTCGTAACTATTTTAATTATTTTAGAATTTTAAGCATAATTTGGGCACAATCTTGAGATTTTGAATTTGAAATATTTATTTGTATAAGACGTAAAAGGCATATACTGTACTGTACTGTAAATGTCTAAAAGCTAATGTAATTATAATGAATGTTTGATTGTTTGGTGGCACAGATCTGCTAAATGACGCCATTTTCAATGAAGATCACGACGAGATGGTTATCGTTAAAGACATTGAAATGCATTCATTATGTGAACATCATTTGGTCCCTATATATGGTCACGTAAGTCATTGCTCTACAATCTTATCATACAAGTTAGATAACATTGAATCTCAATTACAATAGTATAGCATTATAATATTATACGTTACCCAATATACGTTACAATAATACTGTATAACATTATAATCATATTAATATTATAATAGTATAGTATAGCACCAATTGTTAAATGTGATTGATAAATTCTATTTGATACCTGCACATACTGCAGGCTACTTATTCCTTATATAATGCCACATATTTTAATATTTTATCAAAAATTCTTTTATTAATATACTGTACAAGTTATACAGGTATATCTACTTTTATAGGTTTAAATATTTAATTATACTTTACTAAATTCATAAAAATTAGAAAATTACATGCATTTGAATGATTGTAGATTTGAGTACCGGTAATATAAAGTGTGATATTTGTAACGGTATTTTAAGCATAATTTGGGCACAATCTTGAGATTTTGAATTTGAAATATTTATTTGTATAAGACGTAAAAGGCATATACTGTACTGTACTGTAAATGTCTAAAAGCTAATGTAATTATAATGAATGTTTGATGGTTTGGTGGCACAGATCTGCTAAATGACGCCATTTTCAATGAAGATCACGACGAGATGGTTATCGTTAAAGACATTGAAATGCATTCATTATGTGAACATCATTTGGTCCCTATATATGGTCGCGTAAGTCATTGCTCTACAATCTTATCATACAAGTTAGATAACATTGAATCTAAATGACAATAGTATAGCATTATAATATTATACGTTACCCAATATACGTTACAATAATACTGTATAACATTATAATAATATTAATATTATAATAGTATAGTATAGCACCAATTGTTAAATGTGATTGGTAAATTCTATTTGATACCTGCACATACTGCAGGCTACTTATTCCTTATATAATGCCACATATTTTAACATTTTATCAAAAATTATTTTATTAATATACTGTACAAGTTATACAGGTATATATACTTTTATAGGTTTAAATATTTAATTATACTTTACTAAATTCATAAAAATTAGAAAATTACATGCATTTGAATGATTGTAGATTTGAGTACCGGTAATATAAAGTGTGATATTTGTAACGGTATTTACTGTAAAAGAAAGTGAAGACTAGAGAGAGGAATGTATGAAGAAAATTGCAAAAGATATGAAGAAAGTAAGGCATACTATGGCATCAATTGTGACACTTCTCATACTTATTAAGAGATACTTATTCTATGGCAACAGTTAATGATATGCTCTTCTCATTCATAGCCTTTTAGATGAAATATAGCCTTTCATGAGCTCTGAGTTTATGTAAAGAATCAGTTTTTGGTTTTGATTTTCATTGATTGGGCCGACGTTGTCATCAATTGTATGCCCACACTCTTTGAGCTCTGGTATTATAACAATGTATTCAATGTTCTGATAGGACTTCCGTCGCCTTATAACGAGTCCTCTAATGTATTGATATTATATAACGAATGGCTATACATAACAGATAAGTCTCTACTCTAAACCAAACTTATTGTGAAAATTCTTCATTCAATTGTCAACAAAGGATTCATTGAGTGCTTCTATTATGTCTGCATTTTTTGTTAGAAACATATTCTGTAATAAAAGTCAATTTGTATTGATGTGTGACTCAAAGCAACATTGATTTATTAAAACAATTTATTTGCTAATAGGTGTCAATCGGATATTTGCCTAACAAGAAGGTGTTGGGTGTGAGTAAGTTGGCCAGGGTGGTCGAAATGTTCAGTCGAAGACTCCAAGGTAACTCTACTACTAACACAATAACCACTCAAACTATTGCCTAATATGTAGTGTATTTCAGTTCAGGAGCGGATGACTAAACAGATAGCCGTTTGCATTACTGAAGCCATACAACCGGCCGGAGTGGGAGTTGTTATCGAAGCGACGTAACTATTATTATATGAGTTGGACTTACATTTGACTGATACTGTACTGTCCAACCCATAGCCACATGTGTATGACTACGAGAGGGGTTCAGAAGACTAACAGCAAGACCATCACGAGTGCAATGCTCGGTGTGTTTCGCGAGGACTCCAAAACCAGAGAGGAATTCCTTTCATTGATTAGACACTAAGTCCTGTACTTATGGTTTCATTTCGAGAATCAAATGTTGGAAATAATTAAAACGATTCATTTTCACGACATTATTAATCAATTCATTAGGAAATGAGTTATTAATGTTTTAATGTTACAGTTATTTGGAATAATGTTTTGTCGAAATATTAT